CTCAACTTGGCATCCAGAACTGCTCTAACGGCCGCTGTGACCCCACAAATTCGATCTGGGGGTATTGCTTTAAGAGAATAGATATCCTTTTTAGATATTGTGCATGTGAATTAAGACTGCCGATGGGAAGCCTGTGGTTTTGGTGGCCCTCTTACTTTTCTTGTTCCACACTTTACTTCCTAATAGATTACTGTAAAGTTGGTGCATATGTTTGGTCTATGAAAGCCTTTGTTTAAGCTCGAATCAATCATGAGTAGTCGCGCCGCTATAGACGATTCAATCTTTACGGTCGGTTCTGGTACCACTACTCCTCCGCTGAATAAATTGCAGGTATTTTTTGATATCATTCATGGTTAAAATTATAGAAGATTTGGGACATTCGAAAGAAGTTGTGATACTATACTTTGCTTCGCTTCAGTTTTATAACTAATGAATTTTTCACAGTTCGCGGCTGCACTGATTCACCTTATGCAAACAGATGATCACTTTTTGGCCCAGATCCATCAAGCTTATGTGGACGCTATCAACAGAAGAATAAATAGAAATTGATTCAACTTTCAGCTCTACTTTTTTCTATGAAGAATTTTTTGTTATGTACTTTTCAAGAAGCGCATCAACGAGTAATGTGGGTTAAGCTCAACTGCTTTGTAGCTATTTATTTAGCTGAATTGCTTTCTTGTTAAACCTGTAGATCGTACCTACTAACTGTCTCTTGACTTTCGTTAAGTTTTTCATGTTTCAGGGCTTTGTGCATAATCCAAAAAAGCATGCATGCTTCTGTCTTACCGGTTAATTTAACGGTCCATTGGTAATGAGATAGGAATTTGTTGCATACTGGTAGTTGAGCTCTCATTACATGTCTTAATCTCTCGTCAGAGGGGGTCATTCGATTGGTAATGGCCAGACCTAGATGTTGTCGTGGTTCGTTGTTTTTCGGAATAATCCATCTGTTTGTCAGATTATCGTTTATGTTCTTTTTGTGTACATTATTGTTTGTTGTATGTACCTCTGCCAATGCCTTTTCGGTTGTGATGACAATCCGAGTTGTGCGTATCGGATTTCGATGTCAAACTAAAGTGTAGTCTATCTCATGATCTGGTAAATATTTGGTTCGGAGAATTTCAAGGATGTTGAGGTTGAAAGTTTTGAAAATTCAAGGAAATAAGTGCAAGTACCCATCAGGAATGGCCTGGAGGTCGTCATGGCCATTCATGATGTGGTATATGGTTTTATATGTGGCTCGAAGCGCTTCCTAAATCTGCTAACCGATTCTGAATAGACTCAAGAAGTCAAATGTAGTTTTCCGGGCTCTCAAGCTCGTTGAATTGGTTCCTCTGCGGGTTTAATCCTTCGCCTTTGCACGCAGTATTTCTAAGAAGATTTGCACATGCGAGCTCATCTGCGCGTGCTTATAATTATCCATAAGATGAGTTACAGTGCAGTCTGGGCACTATTTAACCATGCCTATTGGTAGTTCTCACGAAGTATGCGCTGGTGGGCTTCGGCCAACCAAGTAAGCATGTTCAGCAAGCTGAGCTATCCCTGAGCATTTTCTAGCCAAATTCCACATTTCGACCCAACCTAAAAATAGTGTGCAGCCATGTCAGCGAATGCTGGTCGTGTAAGGATAATAACTTTCAGATAATGCTTCTGAAAAGTATGAAAAAAAATAGTTCCGGATCCTATTTGTGGCATCATTATTCTCAGATACAGACG